GGACCCTGGGATCATGACCTGTGCCAAACGCAGATGCTTAGTTGGCTGAGGCACCCAGGCAACCCATGGTGATGACTTTTTATATATAACACCATAGGTATGATTTATGAGAGAAAGAACTGATAATCTGAACTTCATTAAAATGAAAAACTTCTGCTCTGCAAAATACAGTCATGAGAATAAAAAGACAAGCTCATAGGTTGCAAGAAAATATTTGCCAAAGACATCTGATAAAGGACTGTTACCAAAGTATACAAGCAACTCTTAAAACTCAACAATAACAATCTGATTAAGAAATGGGCCAATAGCTTTAACAGACACCTCAGAAAAGACATATAAATGGCAAATGAGCATAAGAAAAGATGTTCCCTATGGTATATTATCTGCAAAATGCAAACTAAAAAATGAGGTACCACTATACCCGTAACAGAATGGTCAGAATCTAGAACAGTGACTACTCCAAATGCTGGCAAATGTGTAGAGCAACAGGAACACTCATTCATTGCTGGTGGGAATGCAGAGTGGTATAGCCACTTTGGAAGACAATTTGTCAGCTTCTTAAATGCTAAACATAATCTCGCTGCTAGCTATTTACCCAAAGGAGTTGAAAACTTATATCCATACAAAAACCTGCACACAAATGTTTACAGCAGCTTCATTTATAACTGCCAAACTTGGAAACAACCAAGATGTCCTTCAGTAAGTGAATGGATAAATTGACTGTGGTACATCCAGACAATGGAATATTATTCAATATTACAAAGAAATGAGCTACTGAGCCATGAAAAGACAGAGGAATCTTAAATACATATTACTAAGTGAAAGAAGGCAGTCTAAAAAGGCTACACACGATATGATTCCAATTATATGACATTCTAGAAAAGGTAAAACTATGGAGACAATAAAAACTTCAGCGATCTCCAGAGGTTGGTTGGGGAGAGGGAGGAATAGGAGGGGCACAGAGGAGTTTTAGGGCAACGAAAGTACTCTCTATGGGGCGTCTAGGTGGCTCAGTCGGTAAAGTGTCTGACTTTGTTCAGGTCATGATCTCAGGGTCCTGGGATTGAGCCCTGACTGGGCTCCCCACTCAGAGGGGAGTCTGCTTTCCCTCTTCCTCTCCCTTTGCCCCTCCCCCTGGTCCTGCTCTCTCTGTCTCTTTCAAATCAATTAAGAGAAAGCACTCTGTGTAATACTGTAATGGTGGATACATGTCACCATAAATTTTTCCAGACCCATAGAATACACACTACTGAGTGAAACCTATTGGACTCTGTGTGATCATGATGTGTCAATATAGGTTCATCAACTGTAACAGATGTATCATTTTTGTGGGTTATGTATATAATGGGGAAAACTGTGCATATGTAGGAGCAGGAAGTATATGGGAAATTTCTGTACCTTCCTTTTAATTTTGCTGTGAATCTAAAACTGCTCTAAAAAATGAAGTTTAGGGGCACCGGGGTGGCTCAGTGGGTTTAAGCCTCTGCCTTTGGCTCAGGTCATGATCCCAGGGTCCTGGGATCGAGCCCCGCATCGGGCATTGGGCTCTCTGCTCAGCAGGGAGCCTGTTCCCCAACCTTCCCCCCACCTGCCTGCCTCTCTGTCTACTTGTGATCCCTGTCAAATAAATAAATAAAATCTTTTAAAAAAGTAAAAAATGAAGTTTAAAAGTGACAACAATAGGGACTCCTGGGTGGCTCAGTCGGTTAGGATCTGTATTAGACTCAGGTCATGATTCCAGGGTCCTGGTATTGAGTCCCTCATTGGGCTCCTTGCTCAGTAGGGAGCCTGGTTTTCCCTCTGCCTGCTGTTCCCCCCGCTTTTGTGCTCTCTCTCTGCCCTCTCTCTGACAGATAAATAAAATCTTTAAAAAAATAAACAAAAACAAAAGTGACAACAATAAGAAATTGTTATGAAGATTAATGAGTTATTAAGTATAACACAATTGAAATAATGCCTGGCAGGTTTTGCTTTGTCACAGCTGGGAGTGGGGTGCTACTGGCATCTAGGTGGTAGGAGCCAGTCACACTTCTAAACATCTACTCACAACAAATAATTATTTGGTACAAAATGCAAATAGTGTTGAGCTTTAGAAAAGATGCTCTAATGCTTCTGAGGTACAATGATGTGGATGGCCTGACCTAGGGAATTAATATAGCTAAAGAAAAGAGAAGGACTTCAACTTGTGGCTCTCTAACATACTAAAGATTCCTAAGAAAGATATAATGACTGAGGAGTGGCCATTGAGGTGTAAGAACATGAGAAGAAGATGATAGTACAGAGGACAGAACAGTGTTTCCAGAAGATATGAGAAAAGTGACCAATAATAACACTTAAGGTATCAGAATATTTTCCAAAGATTATACTGTAATCATTTATTATGCACAATAACTCTGTTAAGTAGGTATTATTACCAAATTATATATGGTGAAACTCAGGCACGGGTCTACAATGTCAAATGGGGCTGAGAAGTCTGAGATTTGACTGTTGCACCTGGTAAAGTAGAGGCTGTCACCATTGTGCCAAGAGAGGTTTCAGAGGAATACAATGTGGGGACAGACATCTGATTAATGTGGCTTAAGGAGATATCAAATTAGCAAATAGAGACAAAATATAGACAATTCTGCTTTCTCTGTTTCTATCTTTCTAGTAAAGAAATAGCTAAAGGATAACATAGGTCTAGAAAGGGTTTTTTTCGTTCTTTTTTTTTAAGGTGACAGTTTTATCAGCAGTTTGTTTTCTTTTGCAGATGGACACAGTTGAATACAGATCAAGTGGCTGATTACTTGAGAAGGTGACTAGATAACTGCAGAAGCAAAGTGCTTGGAAAGAAGATGCTATCCCATGGGTTGGCCTTCCAGGGGATCACTGGCAATTCATTCTTGTTACAGGAAGGAAGGCTACATATGAAATTAGGTTAGTTGATTTGGTGCTGATTGAGTGAGGCAATTTTATTCTGATTGTGCCTTTTTCTTCAGCAAAGTTAATAAAAATTGACAATATTGGCTATGCATTCATATGCATTCCTACCTCACATTTGTGGTTGTAAATTTAAAGAGTGGTGAAAAGTTATTATGGGGGGGATGGGAGAGTAAAGAAGAGGGAGAGCGGGAAAGGGAGCATAAGCTCATGTTTATGTTGGCATGAGAATTTTGGAGCTGGGATTTTTGCTGAAGTAGAGGGGATATGTTCTCCAGCTTGTAAGGGATCCTTGAGAATGTCTGTACCTCATCCTTAAATCCAGTGACACATGGGAGGTAGGAAAAAGGTCCACTTTTAGGGAGGGCTGTTGGGGAAGCAATCTTCAGAGGAAAATCATATTCCAGTTAAAGCAGGAAGGTGAAGATGTTCAGAGAAAAAAATAGGGGATTTTGCTGATTACAGAGAGTGAGTTTCCAAGCACTCAATAGGTGGCTTTGGAGCAACTGAGAGGGGTGTGGGGAATTGAGTTAGACTCAGGAATTTATAGACCTACACGGAGATTAGAGTCTGGGTGATTAGAATTTGGATGGCCAACTAAGGTAAATAGGGATTAGTCTCGATGGTATTTTATTTTTAAATTTTTGAATAGTTAAAAATTTTTTAGGGGCACCTGGGTGGCTCAGTGGATTAGGGCCTCTGCCTTTGGCTCCGGTCGTGGTCCCCGGGTCCTGGGATAGAGCCCCGCATCCGGCTCTCTGCTCGGCGGGGAGCCTGCTTCCCCCTCTCTCTCTGCCTGCCTCTCTGCCTACTTGTGATCTGTATTTGTCGAATAAATAAAATCTTTGAAAAAAATTTTTAAGGCATAATTTACATACAGTAATACTGACCCTTTTAGTTTACCAAGTTTTGACAAACACATACAATTGTGTAGCCACCACCTCATTCAGAATATAGTTTCATCATTCCAAAAATTTCCCTGTGTCCCTGTGTAATCACCCCCCACCTCCAGCTCCTGGCAACCGCTGATCTGTGTTCTGTAGTGCATTCCTTTTTATTGCTGAGCATATTCCATTATATGAATGTCACGCTGTTTACCTATCACTAGTTTGGACATTTGGATTGTTTCAGTTCTTGTTGATTACAAATAAAGCCCCTATAAACAGTTGCATGTAGTTTTTTGTGTGAATACAAGTTTTCATTTCACTTGGATAATTAGAAGTGGGATTGCTCTTCTTAAGTGAGCATATGTTTAACCTCATGAGAAACTACTGAAATGTTTTGCAGAGTGAATTCATTTCTTTTTAACACTCACTGGAATGCCTGCCCATGTCCCAGGAGACGTACTGAGCGGAACTGAGTAGTTTGGCGGACACTGCATGACTCACAAATCTTAAAATATTTGCAGTCTGACCCTTTACAGAAAATATTTGCTAGCCCTTGTTATGGAGTATGGTCTATAGGAGTTCAGAATTTCATAAGCAATTTCATGGAGTCCTTCTCTGAGGCGAATAATCAACAGTATAATTATTTTATAGAATGGATAGTTTTATCAGTAAGTATAATAAAAATCTTGCTGTTGACGGACAGAAATAAATGTTTTGAGGTGCTTCAATCACCGAGAAATATCTTCTTATTCAATGCCCTGCGTAAAATTTGCAAGTTTTCGTTTTTCCATAGTCATTGAGAATTGAGCTGGGTATCTAAAAGAATATGGATATTCCCCAGATCATTGTGTTTTCACACACTGGTGCACATATAACAATTTTTCCCATAAGTGCAACCCAACAGTCAGCTAATTTAGAAGGGTGGGAAACCGCATTTAGCGCAGCCCAGGAGGTGGTTTGCATCTGCACCTCATATAATATTGTGCTCATGCGCATGTTGGCCTGCAATAATGCGCAGGCGCGTTGGCTCCGGCGTCGGCCTTTGCGGAGGGGCGGGACTTACAGCCGGCGTCTCTTCTTGTAACTGCGGCTGGTGGCAGCGCCATTTTGAACGTGCAGCTACCGTGGCGGTGATCCTGACCAGGCAGGACAGCGCGCTAAGCGATCTGTCTTCTCTGACTTTTTCCTTCTATATTCCGTATTTGTACGTATATACAGAGATACAGCTATAGCTCTAGAATTATATCCGGTATCTGAATTGAACTCACTAAGATGATGTTAAGGGGAAACCTGAAGCAAGTACGCATTGAGAAAAACCCGGCCCGCCTTCGAGCTCTTGAGTCTGCCGCAGGCGAGAGCGAGCCATCGGCCGCCATGGCCCTCGCGCTGGCGGGGGAGCAGGCTCCACCTGCCCCGGTGGCTCCGGAGGACCACCCCGATGAAGAGATGGGATTCACCATTGACATCAAGAGCTTCCTCAAGCCGGGCGAAAAGACGTACACGCAACGCTGCCGCCTCTTCGTGGGGAACCTGCCCACAGATATCACGGAAGAGGACTTCAAGAGGCTCTTCGAGCGCTACGGCGAGCCCAGTGAGGTCTTCATCAATCGGGACCGTGGCTTCGGTTTCATCCGTTTGGTGAGTGTAGTGCCTGGCTGGCGGGGCTATGAGGGGAAGGGGGCGTGAAGGGAGGCCTCTGTGAGGAGCCGGGCGCCGCGGGCAGTCGTCCACGTTCTTCAGCTGCGGTGGAGAAAGCTCTTGTCCCAGCTGAGGCCTGTGCTATGGCCTGTGAAAATCGCGGCGCCTCGCGTCCTTGTTTTTCCCGCCGCGTTGGATTGTTCTCTCACCCAGGGAAGCGTTTTAGCCCGGAATTTCCGATTAGTGGGCTCGGTTTGCCGTCGCTTTTTGGTTGCTGTTGCCAACGTTTTCTGCTCCGCGCGCGTCCGGCTTCGCTTGCCCGGCGCTACATAGGCTACGGCTAACCCGGCCCAGTTTGGGGTTCTAGTTCTGATTCTCACAAGGGTCAGGAACGTTTTGGGGTGAGACTTCTTCCAGGCAGAATTGTGTTGTAAGCGAAATAGATAATGAATTTGGAACGGAAGCTTCGTCTTAACCAGAAATTTCATTGGGCATGGAGGACCAACTAGCGGACTCGCTTCTTAAAAAATTTCCAAATCATTTCCTTGGTTGCAACCAGACTTGGGTGCGTTTAACGGTAAACCATGTTTCTCACCTTACCTCAGCGCAGCCCACCTTTAACTGCTTCGTTCTTAAACTCTGCAATATTGGGACGGTGTTGAATTGTTAACGTATCTAATGTAGGGTGCTCTCTTCCCAAACATTCTGGACGTTTCCACGTGTTGGGGGGGGTATGAATTATATACTATTTTATATTTTACGTGCACATTTTAATGCTAAAAGAGCATGCATTTTACTTTATAGTTTTAGCCTTAAAACTTTTCCAATAACATGCAAAATTTGTGCCTCCCTTAGATTTTTTTTTTTTAATTAAGGGTGGGGTTTACTTTTGCAGGTCAAAATATCTACTTTATTTGGTTTTCCCATGTGCTTTGTGGTGAATTCCATCAGTGTCAGTTATATAGCTTTATTGTAATTCGTATTTAGATGCTGGATTTTTTTTCCAACAAAATATTTTTCTTGGAGACATTTTTACACAAAGACTTATGTCGTATTGCCTTTCTAGTTTGACCCTCAAATTTTATGTGCATGGCAGTTTGTGGAAGCTTTATTACTGGAGTTTTAACATTCAAAATCGGGTTCTCTTCGTGATTGGCCAAGGCAAAGTTTTAACATGTAGATAGAATTGATTGTAATTTAATAGCATTGTATTTTTTAGGGAGAACATTTGAACTTTTTTTTTTTTTTTTTTAAAGATTTTATTTATTTATTTGACAGAGAGCTAGAGAGCACAAGTAGGCAGAGGGAGAGGGAGAAGCAGTTTTTCCGCTGCGCTGGAAGCGCGACATTGAGCTGGATCCCAGGACCCTGGGACCATAACCTGAGCCAAAAGCAGCGGCTTAACCGACTGAGCCACCCAGGTGCCCCTGAACATTTAAAATCTAAACGGTTTCAAGAGAAGGGTAAATCTTCATAGGGCATTATTAATAAGACCGGGAAATTTCCTTAAAATTGAAGTTAAGTAATCAGTACATTTTGAACATGAAATTATAAATATCTTTTGGATATTAGAGACACTGTCATTTGGTAAAATTATTTTTGATACAATTACAAAAGTTATCTTAAAGGAATTTAGGTTTCTACAATGAAATATTTTAGGCAGTTTTTAGTAAACTTTCCAAAAAGATGTTACTTAACATTTTCATAATCTTTTTAGCCTCCAGCACCTTGTTGGTCTGTTTTAAAGTTGACATTCTGGAGAAAGAATGGTAGGCCTGGATTTCCTTTTGTTTTGGAAGCCTTACACTTAAAAAATAAGCCAGTAGTAAACATTTTGACATGAAAGAATCTTCTGTCTTTAAAGCTACTAATAATCCTTTTTTTCCTTTAGTGTATTAGCCCTGCCCGATAGAACTTCTGCAGTGATGGAAATGCTATGTGTATGTGCTGTCCAGTGTAGTAGTTACTAGCCACATGTGACTGTTGAGCACTTGAAATGTGGCAGTTGTGCTGGAGAATTTAAACTTTAAATTTTATTTATTCTTAAATAGCCACATGTGGCTAATGGATATTTGCTTTTAGTTTCTTGAAAAAGAATAAAAAGTCTATGGGATTATGAAATGGGGAGGTGAGGACTGCTCTTGTCTGCTTCTTCGGGATACGCTCCTCCAAACGTATCATGCGGTATTTTTTGTGTAGGCATGTTAAAAATAAGTCATTGGGAAATGAGAATTTAGCTTACAAGGTTTGACTTTATGGATAACTTTACTGTTTAATTTGAGCTCTATGATTAACAGGTACATTTAAAAGCCTTAAACATTTCTGAGCGATTATGTATCTTTTTCTACTTAGGGAAATCATAGTGTATACCTGATTTGAATATAAGTAATGGTGTAGTGGCTCTAGTGTGTGGTGATGGTGTAGTGGCCCTATAATAGTGGTGTAATTTTATTTGATTTATATTTTTAGGTATTTTTTTTACTTGTTCAGCAATTAATCTTTAAAATTAAATTTTCTTACATTGGTGGTTGTATTTTTTTGGTTGATTGATGAGGTGAGACAATATTTTGGAGATGGTGCAGGGTCAGCATTGCTAGAATGTAACCGTGAGGAAAAAGAATTGAAGTGGCATTTCCTCATATGGTCCTAATCCATATTATGAATCCACGGTACATTAGGGTTGAAATTGTTTATTTTAGATACATTTTGTGGAATTTTAGACCCAAAAAATTCTTTTTTAGGATTTGACTGGTTACTGACATTAGATTCGCTAAACTGAGAAGTTGTAGTGCATTTTTAAAAAAATTTGTTTATTTAAGTGATCTCTACACCCAGTGAGGGGTTCGAACTGTGGACCCTGACTGAGATTAAGAGCCACATGCTTCTCAGACTGGCTCTGCCAGGAGTCCCAGTGGTGCATTTTAAAGATAGTTTAATGTAGTTAAAACTGGTTATTAGTTTGACCTGAACTCTGTTTCTGCTTTTATCTCCTCCCTCCCCTACTTTTAGTTTAGTACTAAAACCAGATTTCTGGAGTGGTGATTCACAAAAGTGTGGGTCCTTTCCAGCAGATTCATCTCTCTCTAGTGCACTTACATTATTTTCCCTATCATTCATGCTAGCAATGCTGACCTTAGACCCAAAAATCGTTAACTGGGATTTGTTAGAAATGCAAATTCTGATACCCTACCCTAGATTAGATCTACTGAATCAAGTTGTGGGGTTGGGACCCAACAATCTTGTTTTTGTTTTTGTTTTCCTTTTAAATATTTTATTTATTTATTTATTTGACAGACAGAGATCACAGGTAGGCACAGAGGCAGGCAGAGAGAGGGGGGGAAGCAGGCTGCCTGCTGAGCAGAGAGCCTGATGCGGGGATAAGGGGATGTACGGTCTCTGTGGGTCTCAATTCCAAGACCCTGAGATCATGACCTGAGCTGAAGGCAGAGGCCTCAACCCACTGAGCCACCCAGGCGCCCCAACAGTCTTGCGTTTTAATTAGCCCTCCATGTTATTCTTATACTTGCTAAGATTTGAGAACCACTATTGTAAATAAAGAGTTAAAAATCTACTGAATTTACATTAATTTAGCCACTGGGGACTAAACCCTCTCCCCTTGGGTTTGTTTTTAATAATGAAATGCTGTGTACTTCTTACAGAATGTCAAATACTAGAGAAGATGTTGTAGAATCTCCTTACTGGCCTGTCCAGCATATAATTTCAAGTGCTCTTTTAGTTCAGGGAAGTTTTCTTATTACAGTTTTAATTCCAGTGAAAGGTTGTCCCCTAACACATTAAATGTAATGACTGTTAAACTTTTTTATGGTTTTTCCATATCAAACCGTACTGTACACATTTTGCTGTGATTTGAGGTTTTCATTTAATATCTCTTTGACATCTTCTCATATCATTAGATTGATTTTTAATGACCATATTGTATTTCACAGTATGAGTGGACTGCCAGTTACCCAGCCAACTTTCTGTTGATTGACTTGAAGACTATTTCCATTTTGCATCAGTGGATTTCTTTGTACTTATTAATTTAGTACTGTTGGCAGTGGTCAATTTTAATCACTAGCAAACAGTAAAAAGATCTGGTCTTTGGAAAGAGCCTTTTGAAAGGGTCCAGTGGACATCATGAGATCCTAATTCAAGCAATCTCTATCTTGGGGTAGTCAGTTTCTTGTTATTTTTTATATTCCTTTTACGTTGAAAACCTGTAATTTTACTTTTTATGCAAAGTGATGCTGGGACACTAGCTGGAAGGAGGAATCTACAGTGTATTGGTAGTATGAATTATGTATAGATCTGGGGGTGAGTTACTTCAACCTGCTTGCTAGGCTTATTTCCCCATATGTGAAGAGGGAATATTAACAACACACTTTGTAAGGTTGTTGAGGATAATGGAAGCTAATTGTGTAGGTGTGTATTTATATACATATTTATGTATATTTATATGAAATAATGAATGGCTAGCATATAGTACCTATTTAGTAAAATTTACCTTGTTATCATTATTCTGCAGTATGAAGTAAAGAAATCTTTGGTTTCATTTCAAACACATAATTTTAATTGATTTTACAGATAACTTTAGTACACATTTATAGCAGTGGTTCTTAAATGGGGTGGTTTTGTTTCCCGGGGGACATTTGACAGTGTCTGGAGACATTTTTCATTGTCAAAAGTGGGGGTTGTTCTACTGGCTTAAACCTCCTATAATGCACAGGACAGCTCCCCACAACAAGAATTATCTTGTCCATAATGTCAAGAGTGCTGAAGGTGAGAAATCCTGATGTAGAATTATTTAATGAAAAGTATAAATTTTGAAGAAGGATTATGGCTTTGAAATTCATGACCGCATAAACATTTTATTTGGCCCGAAAGTAATTTAATTCATTGCTAACTGTAAAAAAAATTACTTGATTTAAGATAAAAATTGGGACTTCCTGCTTCTCTTGGGGAAATAATATATGATGTTGTGAATATACTTGACTGAATCTGAGCAGGAGATGCCCTCTGGAAGCACTTTTCAGTTTTATTTATTTTATTTATTTATTATTATTATTATTATTATTTTAAGTCTGGGAACCCAGGTTTTTTTTTTTTTTAAAGATTTTATTTATTTATTTGACAGACAGAAATCACAAGTAGGCAGAGAAGCAGGCAGAGAGAGGAGGAAGCAGGCTCCCTGCTGAGCAGAGAGCATGATGCGGTGCTCGATCTCAGGACCCTGGGATCACGACCTGATCTGAAGGCAGAGCTTTAACTCACTGAGCCACCCAGGTGCCCCTAAAAAATTTTTTAAGAGTAATTTCTATTTTGTTTATTTACTTTTTAATTATTTTTTTTAAAGTTTTTATTTACTTACTTGAGAGAGTAGTGGGAGTGGAGCAGAGGGAGAGGGAGAAGCAGACGCCCCAGTGAGCAGGGAGCCTGTCGCTGGGCTTGATTCTAGGACATTGGGATCATGACTTGAGCCGAAGGCAGATGCTTAACTGACTGAGCCATCCAGGTGCCCCTGAAATTTTTTTTTAAGTAATCTCTATACCCAAGGTGTGGCTTGAACTTAAAACCCGGAGATCAAGTCACATGCCCTACTGACTTAGCTGGTTAGGCCCCCCAAGAGTAATTTTTAGAAAGAGCTATTTTGAAAATCTGTGAAAAGGTTAGATTTATTTATCTTTGTAAAATTAGTTCTGTAGATAGATTTTTGCATAAATGCAGTAATTTAAAGCTGTCATTAATATTTTAGGTATTGAATAAGGAGCTATTGTGACGTTAAGACTTTTTTCATAAGACAATATATTTGTTCTCTTACAGATGCATATAAAACTTCTTTCAGTTCTCTCTGGAGAGTTCTCACAACACAAAGAAAAAGAACATACCTATATTGAACTTCCAGTTTGTTGATTATGTTTAGATGTCTATATTCTATACCAGCTTTGAATTCTTCAAGAAGGAAGTTCCCTAGTGGTTTCAGCAATGAATGTATTTTCTAGTTTATATAAATGCACGTGCACTTGATTTTTCTCTATAATGGGGAGAACACATGGCCCATGAATGTACACGTTTGCTTCTCTCAATATAATGGAGAAATGTGTAGTCCATGAAAGTATTTCAGAAGTGGTTATTAACATCTGATAGGAGTTTTTATAGATGATATAAGAAAGAAATAAAAAGGAAAGGGGATTTTCTGGCATTGGAGGGGTGAGATGTTTTATTAAGATGTAAATACAAAAACATGGAGTATATGGGAAATTATTCTGTTTTCAGTAATAGCTTCCAGTAACGGGTGCTTGGTCTCAAAAAGTAATTATTTTCTTTTAATATATGTAGGAGATTTAAAAAAGATTGCTTCAAATATTTAATAGCTGGTAATTTCTGAATAGATAATCTTTTAGTGATGACTTGGGACATTGGGGTATTTAAACATACTTATTTTTGAATAATTAGTACAATGCATGTGATACCAAAATCAAATGACACAAAAACAAAGTGACCCTATCTGCCATTTCCAAAAGCTACCCAGCTCTTCTCCCTAGAAACCGCTATTTAAAATTATTTGTGTTACTATCATCTTTAAAAAGTGATTTTTCCTCCTAAAAAGGAATCCAGAACACTGGCTGAAATTGCAAAAGCAGAGCTGGATGGCACCATTTTGAAGAGCAGACCTCTCCGAATTCGTTTTGCTACACATGGAGCAGCCCTAACTGTCAAGAACCTTTCGCCGGTTGTTTCCAATGAGCTGCTAGAGCAAGCATTTTCCCAGTTTGGTCCTGTAGAGAAAGCCGTTGTGGTTGTGGATGATCGTGGTAGAGCTACAGGAAAAGGTTTTGTAGAATTTGCAGCAAAACCTCCTGCACGAAAGGCTCTGGAAAGATGTGGTGATGGGGCGTTCTTGCTAACAACGTAAGTTTTAAACATCTCATCATCCTTCTGTACAGTTGCAAATGGGCTTCTCTCTGTTCTGAACTTCTGTCTTTCCTTGTACAGTTCATACTGTTTTGGCATATGGGTAAGTAGGTGTTGAATAAATATTCACTGAATATAAATAAGGAATTTTTGTGTATCTCCAGGAGGCAGGAGTCATACTTCAGACTTCAGTGTATTGATTCATACTTGAATCTTAGAAAAGTTTTCTTTTACGATTTTCATTCAGCTGACTGTATCTATTATATGCAAAGGAAAATTTTATATTTAAATAATGGATGAGTGACATTATAATCAACTTTATAAATGCTTTTTTTTTTAAGTTTTAGCGGAACTGGATTTGTTATGTATTATTAGGTTGTTTACAGAATTTCTGGAAATTCAAGAGAATCGAGCTTTGATGCTATGGTTTCAGCAGAAATACAGCTAAAAGTAATGCCCAACCTCTTCATGAGATTGATAAATGCATAATTTTCATGAATTAAAATGCACCCAATTTTATGTTATTTTACTTTATTTTTTTGAAGACTTTATTTGACAGAGAGAACACAATTAGGCAGAGGGGCAGGCAGAGGGAGAGGGAGAAGCAGGCTCTCCGCAGCGCAGGGAGCCTTACCTGGGGCTCGATCCCAAGATCCTGGGATCATGACCTGAGCTGAAGGCAGCCGTTTAACTGACTGAGCCACCCAGATGCCCCAAAATGTACCCAATTTTGTTTTTTTTTAAGATTTTATTTAATTTGACAGAGATCACAAGCAGGCAGAGAGGTAGGCAGAGAGAGAGGAGGAGGCAGGCTCCCTGCTGAGCAGAGAGCCCAATGCGGGGCTCAATCCTAGGACCCTGGGATCATGATCTGAGCTGAAGGCAGAGGCTTGACCCACTGAGCCACCCAGGCGCCCCTGCACCCAATTTTAAATATAAAACGCAATGAGTTTCAACAAGTGAATGTACTATGTAACTTAGAATCACAGTCAAGTAGAGAACATTTTCATCATCCAAAAAAGTTCCTTTATGTTCTCTTGCAGTTATTCTCCACCCCTTAACCCTGTCCTACATAGCTACTCATCTTTCTGCACTCCTGTAAATTAGTTTTGTCTTTTCTAGTTATTTCATATAAATGAAATAGTACATACTCTTTTGTGTTCCTTCCTTCTTTTCTTTTTTTAAGATTTTATTTATTTATTTGAAAGAGAGAGAGAGCATGAGCAGGGCAGAGGGAGAGGGACAGGCAGACTCCTAGCTGAGCAGGTAGCCTGACTTGGGGCTTGATCCCAGGACTCTGGGATCATGACCTGAGTTGAAGGCAGACACTTAATTGACTGAGCCACCAAGGCGCCACCTGTTTGATTTCTTTTGCTTAGGATAATATTTATGCGATTTCATCCATACTATTGTATCAGTATTTTGTTCCTTTTTATGGCTGAGTTTTATTCTGTTATGTGGACATAATCATAGTTTGGCCAGTGATCTAAGGGTCGGTCAGTGTTCAAGTTGTTTCTAACTGTTGGCAATTTTGAATAAAGGTTTACACAAATGAACATTTGTGTAAAGTCTTCTTGTAAACATGTTTTCATGTGGCTTGGGTAATGTTTAGGGGTAAATAGCTGAATTTTCAACTTTATAAGAAACTGCCACATTATGTTCCAAAATGGTTGTACTGTTTCACATTTCTACCAGCAATGAGTGGGAGAGAGTTCTAGGTTAGTTGTTCCATACCTTCACCAACACTTGATATTTTTAGTCTTTTGGATATTCTAGCGAGTATGGGAACTTCTTGTGGTTAGTTTAAACTTTTATTTTACTAACTACTAATGATTAGCAACTTTTCATGTGCTTTTTGGCTATTTTTATACCTCTTATGAAGTGTCTTGAAATTTTTTGCCTATTTTTTAATTGGGAGGTTTGTCTTACTGATTTAAAACATCTGGATACAGGTCTGTTTTATGATGATTTCTCCCAGTCTGTGGCTTGCTTTCAAATTTTATTAGTGTTCTTCAGAAAGCAGAAGTGAAGTATAATTTATCTTTTTTTTTTTTTCTTTTCTGACTTGTGCTTTTTGGATCCTTGTATGAAATTTCTGCCTCTCCCAAGGTAGCAAGTTTTTCTTGTGTTTTCTTGAGACATTTTATAGTTTCTTTTTTAAATTTATAACTGTGGTCCATTTTGAGTATGATATGAGATAACAATTCATTTTTTTTCCATACAGATACCCATTTGTTTAAGCACAAGTAATTGAAAAGATGATTCCTCCTTTTTTAATCTTTTATCTTTGTCAAAAATCCTGGGGGGGGAAATCTGCACTATTTTTTGTTTCATTGATCTATGTGTCTGTTATACCAGTACCTTTTTTTAAAAGATTTATTTTATTTTATTTTAGATTTTATTTATTAGAGTGAGCATGTGAGAGCAGAGTGGGGGGTGCTACTGAATAGAGAGGGAGAAGCAAGCTCCTGGCTCATCAGGAAGCCCCTGAACCAAAGACAGATGCATAACTGATTGGGCTGCCCACTCGCCCCTTAAAGCTTTTATTTTTAAGTAATCTCTACACCCAACATTGGGCTTAAATTTATAACCCTGAGATTAAGAGTTGCCTGCTCTACAGACTGAGCCAGTCAGGTGTGCCCCACACCAATGCTCTACTTTCTTAATTACTTTATGCTAAAGTTTGAAATTGGGTAGTATCACCTGTTTTTTTTTTTTTTTAATTGTTCTGGGTATTGTTGTCTTGTATATCCTTACTTATTTTATCTATCCATCCGTTTATTTCTCAATTTTAGTATAGTTAATGTACAATGTTCTATTAGTTTCAGATTATTTTTACTGATTTTAAAATCGACTTGTCAATAAAAAAAAATTCTGCTGGGCTTTCGACTGAAATTGCCTTGAGTGTAGAGGTCATTGGGGGGAATATTGACATCTTCACAATACTGAATTTTCTATTCCATGAATGTGGTATATCTCTCCATTTACTTAAAAATACTTGTCAATAATAGTCATGAATCCTCTTTCCATATTAACATGCCATTCCTTTCAGTTTTCCCACAGCAAAGTTCTTGATGTTCATCCTTAGTCTTTACACTGGATTTGATATAAAAGTTCCTTAGTTGATTATTGTATTGATTCCTTTTATCTCTGTTAGTAATAAAATGTGCCCATTTACTGTATTATTGGTTGGTATCATGGAAATATTTTAGGGTTTGGGGAACTGGCTACAAAGACAATTTACTTTTTTTTTTTTTAAAGATTTTATTTATTTATTTGACAGACAGAAATCACAAGTAGGCAGAGAGAGAGGAGGAAGCAGGCTCCCCGCTGAGCAGAGAGCCCGATGCGGGGCTCGATCCCAGGACCCTGGGATCATGACCTGAGTTGAAGGCAGAGGCTTTAACCTACTGAGCCACCCAGGCGCCCCTACAAAGACAATTTAAAACATCTGTTTTTGGCCCCACAGCTTAGTTGTGTGATTTTTTTTTTTAAGATTTTTTAAGATTTTAGGCCTTGTTCCATTTTACTCATCTTTTGCTAAGATGTTATCTTCTCAGAGAAGTAGTTTCTTCTTTTTTTCCCAAAGATTTTATTTATTTATTTGACAGAGATCACACATAAGCAGAGAGGCAGGCAGGGGGTGGGGGAAGCAGGCTCCCTGCCAAGCAGAGAGCCTGATGCAGGGCTAGATCCCAGGACCCCAGGATCATGAGCAGAGGCTTAACCCACTGAGCCACCCTGGTGCCCCTCAGAGAAGTAGTTTTATCTTGATACAGTTATCCCCTCTGCAACATCACTTATAGTATCCTTTCTCAATTTATTTTTTCCTAACATTTACTGTTTTAATTTGTATGTCTTTCTCTGCATGAGAATTTGTAAGTTGCATGAGGGCAGGGTTTTGTCTTGTTCTACATTATGTAATCCTAACACCTATGTTGTTCTTTTTTTAAAATTAAATTTACTTTAATTCCAGTATAGTTAACATACAGTGTTATATTAGTTATGTGTGTACAGTATAGTCATTCAACAGTTGTATATCTTACTCAGTGTCCATAAAAATAAGTGTGCTCTTACTAATCCCCTTCACCTATTTCACCCATTCATACCCCACTCCCTGGGGTATGTAGTTAGAGTTCTCTGTAGTTCTCTGTAGTTAGAGTCTGTTTTTTGGTTTGTCTCTTTTTTCCCCTTTGTTTTTTCTTAAATTCCGCATATGAGTGAAATCATATGGTATTTGTCTTTCTCTGACTTACTTTGCTTAGCATTACACTGTCTTAGCACCTGTAGTATCATAATTCCTGGCCACAAACTAAGCTAATAATAGTTATTTAATGAAGGAGGGAAAGAAGGACCTAAAACAATAGGCAAGGCATAAGATTAGTATTTTTTCCACTGCAGGCTTTGATTAATTGGTATTTTTTTATTTTAATTGGTATTTTTTTAAAGTTACATCCAGGCATTGGGAAATATTTAACTATTTTTTACAGGTAGCCTTTGGAATCACTTAAAAACAGTTTTGAGGGAATGGACAAATTGTTGAACACTGTACTGTCTCATATTTCATAATCATGATCATAGTCATAAGCATTTGGATTCTCATAGCACTATTATTCCATTTTTTAGGTGAAAAAACTGGCCAAGAGATGTTAAGTAATTTGTGTAAGATTGCACAACTGATAAATGGAGGATTTTAGTCTGACACTGTATCCCTTTTATGCTATAAGTGGAAATTTTTTTTTAAAGATTTTATTTATTTATTTGAGAGAGAGATAGTGAGAGAGAGCATGAGAGGGGAGAAGGTCAGAGAGAGAATCAGACTCCTTGCTGAGCAGGGAGCCTGATGTGGGACTTGATCCCGGAACTCCGGGATCATGACCTGAGCTGAAGGCAGTAGCCCAACCCAACTGAGCCACCCAGGTGCCCTACAAGCGGAATTTTTAATAATCTATCCTTGCGAGAACGTTGTTAGTTAAACCTTCTAATGGAATTCAGGA